TCGCGTTAGTCTGGATCCATCTGTTTGTTTCTCCGTATGCTCTGCCAGGCTGCTTAGTGCACAGAGAACCTCTGGCATGAAGTTGTGCTAGAAACACCCTCCTGCTGGTGCCTGGCACTGGATGTGTTGGCAGGGAGGACATGCTCGAGTTTTCCTTCATTGCAGAGATTCCCAGCAGCCATAATAGCTTTTTAAAGACACTGACAGGCAGCATAATTCAGAGCAGCCCCCAGGATGCCCTAAGTTACACCAGAGGGGCAGCCTGGCAGCAGGCCAGGCGAGGAGAAGGCGTTTCAGTGCTGGTTTGTTTGCTGCCTCTAAATGAGAGGAATCCCGCACTACCACTTGGCCTATTCTCAAACACCAGCCATACCACACAAGCAGTCTGTTTCAGAGATTTCACTCACCAGTGAAATTTCCGCACAATTCTCTTTCAGAAAGAACCATTCCTAATTGAATCTACAACTGTTAGCACTCCTCCCGTGTTTTGGAAAGGCCTGAGTTGTTAGAAACCTGCTCCATGGAAATGAGAGCAGTAGTTTGGGCAGAGCTCCCCAGTCGTGTGCTGAGAAAGTGCTCTGAAGGGGTCTGTCAAGCAGCATGTGGCCTGAGGTGGTTGTCTTGGGATGAAGAAAGGTCGCTCAGCAGCACAGAACAGCTCTGTAGTATCCACCACCACCTCTGTGGTGCTCTGAAGAGGAATTCTTGCTGTTGGTGTTTGGCACACAATGCCATTGCGTTCAATTGGATTTACCCTATGATGTGTTTCATGAACTTGGGAACTGCAGCTCATGAAACTGAGCAGAATTCAAGTCTGGAGAAACTCAAACTCCTGCCCTTTCTGGGGATTTGTTCAATCTTACGTCCCATCACACAGATGCCAGCAATAGTGGGTGTGTTAAAATCTAAGCAGCTTAAAGCAAAAGACCGAAGTCTTTCATTGTCATCTCCCAGTTCCTCCTGTAAAAATATTCCCAACGATGCAATGCTATCTGCAAAGCTGGTATTTACAACGGCAGTTATTGGTATGTGCTATTGATAGCGGTGCTGTGCATTTTATTAAATATTAACATGGAACAGAAAAGTGATGCAAATTAAATACGTATGTTACAAACTGCCCAAATAATATTAAATGAACTAATAAGAACAGTCTTGGGATTTTCTAGGTAGTATATTAATCTTTATTCAAATTTAATTTTAAATTGAGCATATATATACATATATATGACCTAGTCCTGCTTCCCTGGTGGACAGTTCAACCCTAGCAATTAACGCTTTACCTGGTAAAGGCAGCCCATGTGGAGAGGTGAGCTATGAGAAAACTGTGCTTCATCTTCTGGGCACACCTATGAAAGGTGAGACCCTTAATAAGGGGTAATGGTTCTGCTGTAGCTGCTCCAGTTGAACTTCTGTAATAAAAAGCCCATGGATAGTCTAATTCTGTCTTTTGCTTTCCCTTGAAATTCTATCTTAAAGTGCATTCTATCTTAAAGTGCATTCTTCTCTGTGTTGAAATGAGAGCGATTAGCTCCTTGGGATCTGCTGTTATGCCTTTAAAATCTGTGAAAGCTGGGAAGCTTTCCATGGTATGAAGCAAGAATTACCAGAAAGAAGCTTATGAATGTGTGGCCAGCTGAAGAAACAATTTGCATGCGGGCCCTGCAGGAAGCCAGGCTCAGCAGGAGCGATTCCCTTCCTCAAAGAGCAAGGGGGAGGAGAGAGGCGTGTTGAATAGAGGTAAATGTGGTGATGGAATCAGCTTCATTTCTAATACCTGTCATCACTAGAGATCTCCCTGGTGCATTTCCTAAGATACTCTGCATTCACGGTCCTTTCAGTGGGAGCAGGGAGGAGGATGGTTAATATAGAAACAAGAAACACCACCCCAATCTCCAGTCCCAGGGAAGGGAGCCTGAACACTTCTGTCCTGCCACACTTTGAAGGCATGGAGCATGCTCCATTCACAGCAGTTTTCTTCAAATTTTGGCTACTCGTTTGGATTTGTTGGTATATTTTTCTTCATATGTATTACTCAATACCTGCTGGATTCTTTCTGTAATTCTCTTCTCTGAGTTAGTTTGCATCATCCATCTCCATTTCCGGAGAGGAGCTGATTGTACCAAACTGAGCTCTACAGAGAAACCTTCTTTTCTGGGTAGGTGCTAACTTGCATTTGGCCTAGCTCATACCTTGTTCACACTCAGGCTTACCAGGGCAACTTTTGCACCATTTTATTTTTGGCCTTCTCAGTACTCATAGTACTTAATTTAAACTTAATTTAGACTGTTTTCATCTCTTAATGCAAGCCATTCAACTTCTCAAGGCTGCTCAGTTTCTGTAATTTTGGTGCTATTCAGTTTACAACTTTAACTAGAAATGTGGCTTTCATCAGCATTTTAAAATAATCAGTCCTCTTCACATCACTGATTTCAATCTTCAGTCCATTGTCCCTGTATATTTGCTTCAGTCCATGTCCCAGTATACATGTATTTTCTTCTGCTTTTGTTGCTGCTCTAATAGCACTCTTCCACTCCCATGTGAAGTGGAATTTATTTTTAGTAACAACGTTGAGTAATTAAATACTAATTGTCAGAGGATTTCAAGTACTTTGCAACATTAATACTGCCCTGTATCCATTTCACAGTTATCTTCTGGTATGTACTAGTAAACAAGACTTGAAATCTTACCCTACCTAGACTGAAACATATCATTGTGTTATCTGTCCTTTCCAGTACAATAAGTCTATTTGATAAAATGAGGTATTCTTAAAGTATAACTAAGTCTTTCACATCTCCATTACCTTCTCTGCAACCTGCATATTGGATTCATGATTTAATGTTACAGCATTTTTATAAACTTTGGATAGTCTTTATATCCAAAGACTAAGACTTATATCCAATTAAGACCAAGAAATTAATGGTGCTTTAAAGGCAAGATGTACATCTCAAAATGCAAAGTTTTGGAATGACATATGGAATCTTAACTTGGGATGAAGAAAAGGCAGCTATACCCTTAACTGAGTTCCTTTAGTTATAACTTCATGTCCACAAGACACTTCAGGAAGCGTTTTCATCTAGTACAATGAAAAGAACTTATTTGGTATGATCCATAAAGAAAGCACTTGTGATTCTTGGAACAGCCTCCTGTCAAATTCAGATCATTTTATACTCATGTTGCCTCTCCTCTTTGCTCATTTGTTTTAAAGGTCAAAAAATTAATGGTACAACTGATACACGCTCCAGGGATGTACAGCCATACCTAACATCTTTGTTCTTGTTCATTTCAGGGAAGAATTCTAACTTGCAATTAGTATGGCATGTTCAGGCAGTTAGAGGTTAACCTTTTTTCTACTTTCAGGCTCTAAACCGTATTTAGTCATTTCTGTTATCTCCAGAGAACTATTGGGATTAAATCCTCATGTGTGTTGTAGCTCCATATAGCTTGAGTGCCAGAGGAACTGAAGATGGATTGAGTTGCCTTTCTTGGCAGATCGTAGGGCTGGTTACAGCATTCCCAGTAGCTCTTTCTACACTGAATTTAAAAATGAAAAATACTGTGTTCCTTTCATCCAAAAAATGTGGAATAGCCTGAACTCACACCTTTCAGATCCTTAGATATTGCCTCTACATGTCATGTGAAGCAAGCTAGCTAAGCTGACTTTCCATCAATAGTAGAGAGTGCCTGTGACTGGGGACTTGTCTGATCCAGAGCACATTTAAAGGTCCTTTGATGTTCTACCGGTCCAGTGTAACCTTGCCCTGACTCCTCTCCATAGGATCATAATCAAAGCTGTATACACATAATATAACACAAAGAGCTGCAAAGCATCTGCAATTATCCTTTCCTGTATACTTATTTTTCTACAAGTACAAATCTGAAGTGCCTGCGATATTTCAGAATTCAGCCATGTTTATACTGCTGAAGGATTTGGCATCTGCCATGAGTTAAACAGCCAATGTCATTGCTCCCCAAGCATACGCTTTACTACTGTTTACTGGGTAGAGATGTGGCTAATAGTCAACCCAAGAATCCATCAAAATACTCAGAATTAGGATAAATATTCTCATCTATCATGATATTGGCCAGCATTTCTTGCTACCATTTGACAGATTGCAGTTGTGTTTTCACTCCCCTTGTGATTATATTTCCAAGTGAAGAGAATTATTACACCGTGCCTAAGTATGCAGTTGTGTCTCAGATAACATTCCAATTGGACACGAATTTGAAGAGTTTTTTTTCTCAGACTGGTTTAACTAAGGAGATCAAGACTTAAGTCCCAAAACACCACTTTGTATGTCTTTCTAAGTTTCTATCCTCTACCCACTAAGCACTTTAAAGGAAAGTTCTTTTTCAATGATGTACAGCGACGATACTCAGGCAGTTGAATCATAGGGAGACACGTAGAGCTTCTTTTGCTGATATTTGTACAACTGAGAATGCATATCACAATACACAAAGATGTCCTCCACCATTTTGTGCCTGCTTTTTATGAAGCATGAAATTGTGTGGTTATCACAGGGCTGCAGAGAAACCAGAGGCTGTGTGACCATGGCGTGAATTGGTGGCAATGTGCCATTTGTGGTTTATGGCCTGGAGCACCTACGGAGACCTGAGCAGCGTGGTTTCTCGGTCCCCCGCAGAACAGGAACCCAAGTGACTGACTGAAGGCTGTCTGACTTAGTGCATTTCCACATCCTGAAGGGTTTGTATTTCAGCTTTATTGCTATGCGTGGAGCTCCACAAGGTATCCCATGAGGCCGGCTAGGTCCCCAGCCGCCGCTGCACCCCACGCAGGTTCTCCCTGGCTGTTCAGCAGTACCCGCACTGCCCACGGGCTCCGCAGTCCAGAGGCACCCCGAGGCGCTGCCTCCCCTCTCCCTTCTCCCCCCCGGCCCGGCTGAACCCTCCCCGCGGCCCCCTCGGCGCCCAGCGGCCCCGCGAGGCCGGCGGGGGAGCGGGCTCGGCCGCGGGCCCCTCCCCGTGCCCCGCCCCGGGCGGTCGGGAGGCGGTCCCGGGGCGGAGCAGGCCCCGGATGCAGTCGGCCCCGCGGCGCGGCCCCAGTTCCTGCCCGTGCCCTCCGCCCGCCGGGGCCCGCTCGCCCTCCGCAGCGCGGCCGCGCCATGTCGCTGGTGGCGGAGGCCTTCATGAACCAGCTGGCCGGTGAGGGGCGGGCCGGGGCGGGCGGGCGGCGGCCGCCAGCCGCTGTCCCCCGGGAGCCGCGGGGCAGGCGGGGCAGCCCGGGTGACCTCGGGCAGCGGGGCGGGGGGGCGGGCCGGGGAGCTCCGGCCGGGCGCCGGGGGCGGGGTGGCGGCGGCCAGGCTGGGGGTGTCGCCGTCCCCGCGCCCCGGGCAGCGGGCGGACACCCCGCCGGATCGGATCCGTGCGGGGCACGGCGGGCTGCGCTCCCACACCGCCTGCGGCTCCTCCTGTGCTGCCGGGCGCCGTCACCTTGGCGCAGTGACTGATGAATCACGGCCCTTGCATGGTCCAAAGTGCCTCGTGTTACCCGTTTGGCCGTTGCAGCCGAGCCTCCTTCTGTAGGGAGCTCGGTGTGGTTGGTGCCCCGCTCCCCGGGCATGTGCCGCGCGGCGTGTGTTGCGCTGGGAGCCGAGAGCCCTGAGGATGCCTCTGCCCTCGCTGGTGGTTAGCAGCTGGGCCGAGTAAACTGGCTGCAAGCCTGGTCGTAAAACAAGTGATGTGCATCGCTGCTGAGTGCATTAGCCAGACGTGCTCCCAAGGAGAAACATGCACCTCTGATTATTCCTTGCCGAGGTGTTCAAAATCCACTTAGTGCCTTGCACGCTGAGAGGCTGTGCCTTGGCCAGAGCTCTCCCTGCTCATTTCTCACTGTTGCTGGTTTCTTTCTGCTACACAGACTCACAAAGTATGAACACTGCAAGGAAGCAGCGTGCTTATCTCTGCCACCCTGTTGAGGAAGAAGTTGGAGTTTGTCCCAGGAGCTGAATTGTCTCCCACAGGCTCTAACATGGGAGTCCAAGTTGGATTTCTAATGTGAATTCATAGACTCCAGAGCAGGCTTGCCTGGGACCGATTCGTTAGAGAAAAGGCAGTGGGCCTTGAGTCCATGTGTGCAGAGAGACCCACAGGCACCCCAGAAAGTTGTGCTAGGCTCTTGGACTGGAACTTGTTAATTCATAGACGTTAGCATGGGTCGAGCTCACCTTCTGAGGGCCTGAACTTTGCTTCCACAGGGCAGGGAGATTAGGGCCTCAGCATTGCTTTGCTTTGTGCTGTTTGTTGGCGCCATCTTAGTGTAGTTTATTCATTTATATTGTGAAACACAAGGGTGATTAGGGTAATTACAAATGTGAATAGGTGTTGATTTGGCTGTATTTGTCTGCTGTGGACTTTTGAGTATCCTAGGTCAACAGGTTGCTGATGCTTTCTACTGGATTTACAAACACCAACTCAAAAACTGTATTGCATGTAGGCATCTGTACAGTGATAGCGTAAGAAAAATGCATATTTGAAAAGCTGGAAACAAGAAGATGAAGTTCTGAAGCACCTGCCTCTTTCCTCTCCCATCTCTCCAAGCTGCGCTTGCATTGTGCCTGGGCAGACTCTTGCCTCCCATTTGGGGCAGTTGCATGCCCTCAGACAAACAAATGAAACACTTGTGCTACTAAAGTGGGGCTCTGAGGGTATCAGAGGTGTTCGTGTACATCTGGACCTTCCTAAAACATAACAGGCCTAGGACAGTAACACCTCATCTTTTACTTGGCAGTCATGGGTTAAGCGATGCTCCTTTTCCTAGGTGAGGAACTATGTAGGTAGCTAATACAGAAATGTTGGCAACGCTTCACTATTTTTGCAGAGCAGAAATGGCTCTTGCTTACTCTGTTGATGTGCTTCTGCTGGATGTGCAGCTTCTTACCAGGACTCAAGGTGTGGTACAAATCTTTGTTGTGGACCTGCCCACTGGATGATTTTTTAAAACAAAATTACAACTTTGCCTGTGCTTTCCTAAAAGCATATCAGTGTCACAAGCATTTATCTACCTTGAAAATAATAAATACCTTTGCCAGTGGGTCTTGGCCTTCTTAGCTCATCTGTATCATGTATCAGTCCCAGACTGAAACTAAGTAAAGGCAAAATTGCTCAATTTTTTCATATTGGAAATTTTTCTATAAAAAATTAAGTTATCCAGGATCCTGGCTAATACCCACCACAATGGGATGTTGCACAGACACATAGAATATTTCATTCTGCTACTGAGAAGATATATATGTCCCACAGATATTTTTGAGGAAGAAAAATGGTGTGTCTGGAAGGAAAAATACAGCTTAACAAAAGTTTTTCTAATAGTGCCTTATCTCTATATTGTGAACACTGTCTTTCTATTATGTATGGGTGGAAATGCTGTGTTGATGCAGTGTCTCAAGGAATAATAAATATTTCCATAGCTTTGTGAATTGCAGGCGTGTTGTGCCACATTTTAAATAACTGATTTCTGAACTGTAGCAAATATTAATTGCATAATATGGTAGAGAATTTGTTTAGTGTAGCTTAGCATCAATCACACTGTAACAGGATAGGAAATGAGTGTTTATACTGTAAGAAGAATTAGAATGCCAGCTTTCAAGTGGTCCAGAATATTAATGTCTCTAACTCTAGGAGTTTGGAGAAGCTGACAGCTCAAATCACCTAGAAGAGATTGTTGAAAAGTTGTTTAATTGATCACTAAATTGCTCAATATGCTTAGTCCCCTTCTTTCCCCTTCTCCCTCCCCCATTAGTTTTAGATCAGCGATCAAAAAGAGAAAATAATATCCTTGCTTGTCATTTGATCTGTGGAAAATTACTTCTGTTTACTGCAGTTGAGTTATGTCCAAAGGTCCTAGGCTGGTTTTAGTACTAAGGGAAATGAATACAGTTTGAAAAACAGATGCCCTTCTGCCTTTAGATATTTTACATTCACAGCGAGTCTACCTCCAGTGTGATATGCCAGAGCAGAAGTAAATCTCCTACGTGCATGTTTTATGTATTAAGACGAGCTGCAACTTGGCTTAGAACATAGGGAATGAAAACTGACCTCTTAAATTGTTCCTGCTCATAAAGGACATAATGCATACTCAGTTTAAATCTTTTGCGTATCAGAATGTGCATATGTAAATGTTATCAGCTTCTGTCTATGTATGGTGAAAAAATAGTTATTTTTGCTTAGTAATAAATTGTCTGCAGCACAGCTTATTTAAGCCTGCTACAGAGGTGCTTGTAGTCAAGGGATGGTTTTGAAAATACCAAATTTGTTAAGCTACTTGATTTTATCTTACAGTGTAATTCAGGCTGGGGACATGCACATGTGCTTTTTTTGTGTGTGTGGGTGTAATCAAACTAAAAGGATTCCCTTTAACTCTTGTTCAGTTTCAATAAACAAATCTCCTAGGCTGCTCTTGGCAGTTTGTGCTCAGGCACATGTTTTATGACTTGATTTGAACCAATCCTTTGAGTGGATTGCTTGTCTAGCCTTTTCTTAGGGCAGAGAAAAAATGACTTTATTTCGTAATTATCACAGTACAGTACATATTTCACTTTGAGTTAGTTATATTGCTTCTTAAAAAATAATTACAGGTTATAAAATCATATCCTTCTGCAGTTGTTTCTGGCTCCATTAAGAGTAAGCATTCTTCCTCTGATCAGGATTTTATTATTATGTGTTTTCTGCTAACGTGGTATCTTCTTTTTTCCCACGGCAGGAAAGAGTATTGCTCTAGAAATGCGACAATAAAATTAGTAACTGAAGAGGAATGCTTATTTTAATGTTGTCCAATTTGATCTGCAAGTGAGGTTTCACCCGTTGTAAGATGAGTCGGGTATGGATGCTCTTTGGGAGCCTAACTTTTTGGCTCGGGAGAGGTCCCAGAAGTTTGACTTTGGGGAGGAAACGGGTTTTTCTTTGTCTACCCTCTTGTTGCACTCAGGACGCTCTCCTCTCGCACTGTCCTGAGGCACTAACCTGGTCTCATTCTGTAGGTTCCTATGAGCTTCACAAGAACGAATGAAAGCTTTGTTCTCTCTTCCTTCCTAGCTGTTGTATAATGAGATCGAAGCTGATGTAATGCTCGGGTCCCTAGCAAGAACTTTCTAAGAGGTTTTGTGCAACTGTATGTGTATATTTTTTTGCATTTGAATGCCATGTTGCAGAAATTCTGGAGACAGCAGAGTTTGTTCGCTGAAAAAGTCTCGAAAAAAAGATGAGGAAGACTGTGAGGGTATGATTATGAGACAGGGATAAATACATTCAGATTTTGAAGCAGGGAGTTGGCGAAGGCGAGGAAGAGGCAGAGAGATACTGCTGCAAATATTGTTGTCTTTTTTTTTTTTTAAAGTGGGGTTGCCTTGAAGACCGTGAGCCCTAAAGCAACAGAAGAGGTGCTGACATCTTCCCCTTGCTACTAGCCCTGCTTGCATTTCTGCTGGCATTGCTCACCTGCGTAGCGGTTGCGGCACTTCAAGGCTCTGGCTCGGTCTGCCGCCAGCACGCTGCGGTACTGTGCGCAGGGCGCTGTGCGGGACATCAGAGAGAAAGGAGAGAATGATGAGGAGCCCTAATGAAAGGCTGCAGGGGCCAGGTGGGCAGGAAGAGCATGCATGGGGAGTAGCTTTCGGAGCAGATAGGGGTTATTGAGGTCTGTGTGGTGGGACAGACGTGTAGGATGTCTGTTGTGGATCAGAGGCGCTGCAGATGAGAAAGCAGCGAGCTCCTCGGGGCACTTTGCAGAAGGGGTTTTCAAACTGCCTGCCAGACATCCTTAGGGGAGAAGGAGTTCAGACTGCTGCAGAGGAGGGGTGCTCTGTCTAAAAGAGCTTCTGAAGGACTGTTAACGTGTATGGGTGTAGATAACATCACTCAGAATTGTCCTAGTCCAGTAAGGCACTTAGTGCATTCTTGGGTGTCATAGCTCCGCTGTCCTTCTCTTCAGGACAGCCCCTGTGCTTGAAGCTTCCCGTCTTGAATCAGGGCCAAAGTGGCACAAAGGGAAGAGGCTGATTTAGAGATCTATTAAAAGCTATAATTAAGAATTGCAGAGGTTCTTGGAAATGGAGCCTTTGTGCTGAACATCAGGAATAAGTAAAATAGCTCCAGCTTGTCAGGACTTGACAAATACATCTTTTGAGGTCATTGAGCTGGCACTCTCC